AGTACCTCTATCTTTACGTAAAGCTTATACATGTTTATTAAGATGCATATATGCAGATCTCTTTATTTTTTTTGAGTTTCTTTGGCATTGTTGCTTTTCATCCCCACAGCTGAGTGGTCATCCTGGCTTCCACTTTATGGCAACCTCTGCTGCCGGTTGGTGGCTCAACCTAATTGCATGACACAGAGTATGATGACTGGCTACCTGAACCAGAAGGTGAGTCGCCTGCTGTTAACAGTATGGTCAGTTCCTGGTGTTAAATTATACGGTTCTTGTCTTATTTGTTCTCTTTTATGGGGATTTCAGCAAAGTGTGGAGGGGATGTACCGCTGCTGCAGTCTTTACGGTGTGCTGAGTGCCGGCTTTTTGTCCTGTTACTTCACCCCAGAGGAAATTGAGGCTAAGGTGCAGCCCACTCTCAATGTACCCATCAACAAGGTAAGACAGAATCCAAACTTTTTTATACCACATTATATTTTGCTCTTGTCTGTACTTTGTATTTGATTGTATTTATTACTTTAATATGAAAGTGGGAATGTAGAAATGATAACAACACCAGGAAGTTGCTTCTGCTGTCAATGTCTTAGACATTGTTATGTTTCCATTAAGCTGTCTGGTTAGCAGAATTTTAAATTGAATACAAGCCTCAAAATCATTATTATCGATTAAAATCTCAGCTCAGAGTTTTCCCGAACGTTTTCAGTCAATCGCAGATGCCACATTACTCACGGATGTGCTGCTTGCATCCCTGACTTGTAGTTGCTGAATTAAAATGTATTTCTGCAATATCAGCGACGAACTTTTTACTACAATCCTCATAGAGCTCTCATTTGTTATTGTGGTACTCGTTTTTCAGCCGATGAAAAGTTGTAGTTTGTTTCTGCAGGACACTCGAATTCGTATTATGGAGAAGGAGTCGGCAGGCCAGAAATCCAGGAGTCTGTGCATCATCAACCCTTCACCAGAGGGATCTCACACCATCATCTTCAGCACAGAAACCAGGGAGGAGCTGGAGGACTGGCAGGATGCCCTCAACCAGCACCTCTATGATCAGAGTGAGTATGTTTCTGTGTAAACAGGATTTATAGTGATATTAAACTACAGTATATGTACTGTATGCTCAGAGCAACACCATGTTCCCGATTTTGTGGAAATATCTTTTTGTTCTGATATTTAGCTAACTTCAGAAAAGATTGTTTAACCTTTAATCTGTATCTCTGGTGGCTGTCCTTGTTTTTAACCAGGCCAGTGGCTGCACTGCTGCAAACGGCTAATGAAGATCGAGGTTGTGTCACCACAGAAACCATCACTTTTCCTCACCAAGCAGGCTAATTCGGTTTACAATGACCTCAGTAAGTAGTCTAAATGGAACAAGTGGCTGAATGGAGTTGAATGTATAGCTTAGTGTTTGATGTAAGGGTCTGTATTTATAGAACATACAGTAACAAATGGGACAATAAATGTAAAATATTTCTATTTAACACAAATAATAGCTGACATAATTAAATGAACAATTAAAATACAATTTATCACATTACATTTTTTGTTATGTTTATTATTTTGATGTAATCTTAATGCCCGTTATGCTTGATGTGCAGGTATAAATTCACCTAGTAAGTTTGAGAGCATCACAGACATGATCCACAACAAGATAGAGGAAACAGATGGCCACTTTCTCATTGGTCCTGAGGAAGAGAAGGAAGCACCTAATTGGTCCACTCTGTTTGATGGGTCTCATTCTGTGGTAGTGCAGAAGAGTATTCTGAGCAAGAGCAAAACCTCCACCCCTTGCCCAAGCCCCAACCAAAGCACCAGCTCCACACCTGTCAGCAACCACAAGCGCCGCGCCCCGCCCCCTCCGCCTGACAGAAAACCTTATGCTTCCTCCATCCGTCCTGCCAGACCTCCCCTGCCTGCTTCTCTTCACCCTCCTCCTCCTCCTTCTCAGTACCAGGAGAAGGAAAACTCAGGCGTTTGCACTTCACGCCCGGCCACAAGACCCAAAACTGGCAGACCGTCACTGGATGCCAAGTTCTCTGCCATCATCCAGCAGCTCCAACGGAACAACACTGGAAGTGCAGGAGCCCTCAGCCGCAAAAACGCTCCGCTCGGCGTCCTTGATGTACAAACACAAGGGCAGCCTCCCCAGCAGCTTGAGTACCAGAGCCACCACATCCAGACCACTGAAGCCACAGGTGACCATGGCTTCTTCAGACCGAGTCACGGTCCTGTTCCTGCACAGCGGAGCAAACTAAGGAAGTCATTCAGAGAGAGGATGAACCTTAAAGCCTTCGACCATAACTAGATTTATCTAGCTAATCCTACCTTACCACTTATACGAATAACTCTAAAATAACTCTTAATGGTTAGAACTTCTAAAGTCCGCTAGGTAACAATAAAATGAGTATTGCAATTTATTTAAGTGTACCAATAACAATTATGTGGTGATATTGTTGGAGTGGTCCTTAAAAAATTAAAGGAATAGTTAAACATTAAGGAATGTTTACATGCTTTCTGAGATGTAAAAGTATTACCACTCACCTGTATATTTAATATGAACCCTGAAGCCAGGAGACAGTTAGCTTAGCTTAGCATTAAGATGGAAAACAGTGTAGTTAATATGTGCTTAAAAAGCTACATTTTTAAATTAAATAAACAACATTTTCTTAATAAACTGAGGTAAAGAGACAATGATTGGAAGCTTTTTTTTTTTTAAATCAATACAGCACAGCTTACTGTTTCCCACAGGCTTTCAGTCTTTATGCAAAACTAAGCTAACCACATACAACTTTATTTGGCTAATAGACAAGAGTGGTATCAATCATCCTAATTTGATTTCCCAGATGTCATACAGTTTCTCTAAATCTAAAGAACGGGTGGGTGATGTGGTCTCTTAAGAAACGGTCCTCACATTGTCCATCATGACAACCCAAATCCCAGTTGACTCCTCATGCCACAATATCAATATTTTATTGATACACCTCCAGCTCCATTACTCATTTCTAAACTTTCTCATGTGCAGCTAACCCGTAGATGAAATAGAGAGCTAAATGTTGGCTTGAGCGCTGCCATCATCAATCCCACTAAAATGGAAAAGGCTTATTTCTCAGCTCCTAGCTCTGTCACTGGGACGTGGAGCAAAGAAAAAGCCCTTGCAAAAAGCACTCAAATTGGAATTGATCCACGAATCATTCCTTTTGGAACTATTGACTTATTACACTTACTGTGACAATTTTATGACCACTATAGTTGATTTTAAGGGAACAAGATTTTAGGAGCGATTGCAGGCACTAATGTGACTTCTCCATTTCCCAGAGGTCTTTTATAATGGAGTGACCTTGGTTTTCAGTGGCTACACATTATGTTCAACATAGTTTAATAGTACAGCCCATAACTGCTAGAGGATAATTGAATGAATGAGACTTTTGAGAGGCTAAGACAGTGAATGTCCCTGTGTTTGTGTTTTTAACATATCCAATACTGGCAACCACTAAATATTTCAACCATTTAACAATCCCATGCTGAAGAATGGGATTCATAATAACAGAGTGTGCAAAACATTAGATACTTTCTCTGAAACTGCCAGGCAAAATGAAGCAGTATGCTGAAAGCTACAATCCCATTTTGTTTTATCTCACCCTCTAAATTCTTTTTAATCAAGAAGGGGGATGTAGATTTGGGGGGGGGGAAGGCGGATTACAGGAGGATTTAGTTTAAGCCTTGAAAGAAAGGAGAATGGCTTGTACAAAAGGGGACTCTGCTTAATATAAGCAGTGTTTTCAAAATGTTTCTATGCTCCTGTGAACTAACACTATATTAGGTACTTTGATGTTGTTACAGATTGGGCCTTATTGGCGTTATTGCATAGCTTGATATGATGATCATCTAATCATCTCAATAGCAACATTACAATTTCCTGTATCCTCCATCGACACTTTTACCATTTTCAGCTGGATAAAGTGAACCAGAGACAAAGAACACAAGACTACTTATTGCTGACATTTATTTTGAAAGCTAATCTATCGGTATAGTATTTCAGACTAACACTGTAGACCCAGTTAAAGCAGTGTCATGCAGGAAATGTGCCTTCTGTGGACATTAAGCATGATAGAGGGCATGTGATCTAAGGCCCTGACACACCAAGCAGAAGTACTGTTGCTTAGTGACCAAACAAAGACTCAACATTCTTACTCTTGATTAAACTAATGAGCCAGTGTTTTAGAAAATATCTTACTATTCTCATTTATCTTAACCTGATGGTAGAGATTACAGTAAAAGCTACAATCTTTGGTTTTGTAATGTCTCAGTAAAAATGTTCTGTTTTGATTATTAGTACAGCCGTCTCAAATTAATTATTTAGACTTTGGCTGGCACTTTATTTATGTACTTGAAAGCAGGAATACATTCATCTTGCCCTGGTGCTGAATAATTTGTGTATAGTGTAATGTGAACAATATTGTAGATATATAAATAATTGTTATGTGTTTTTCAATAAGTGCAATTTTCTCCCTCCTCTCTCTTTGCTGTTGTCTTGGAAGCTAACTGTATTTTTTTTATTATCGCTGATCTGCAATAAAACGGCCTACTTTCTACCCCGGTGAGGCTGCTTTTTTTTTGCTGAGCTTGAAAGTATAACTGAATATTTTTCATGGTAAAGATTTACCAGGGGATGGCAAAGTCAAAGGATGGCTTTTATTGCAGCCCAACACACATCACAGTGATACATGCATGGGCACATAGCTCCACTGCAGCAAATACTGGAGAGGTTTCTCTGGCCTTGAGCCCAGAAGTATCCTGTTGTGAAGATTAAGGCGGATGGAATCTCGTATCCAGATAATGGTATTACAATAATACAATACTAGATACGACACTGGAGGGGAGGGGGAGGGGGGGGAGAGAACATTACATTTATGTTAGCACACCGGTGTTAAATATCAGTTTATTCAACCCTGGCTTGTTAACAGCAGTTCACTTAAAGAACACAAGTGAGGAAACGTGTGTAGATAGTAAAATATTTTAATTAAATATACAGGAGGTCATATACAAAATGTCTATTTTTTGTCTTGCTTGCCAGCTGGGTGATTGGTAAACAGATGGCTACTGTATCAAAAACACTTTCAGGATGCACATGAACAAAAACAACATAGAAATAAAAAGAGTATCCTTATACTTAAACTGTAGTGTTTGTTTAAATCTAACAGGATCACCGTGACCTTGAAACAGAGCAAACAAGGACACAGCTAGATTGTGTAACCAACTTTTATACTGTTTTTTTAATACTATTTACAGAGTATAACAGTTTATATGATAACAACCACGCCGTACTATCTACAGTGTTATTTACAGAGAAAATAAGACAAGAGAGGGGTTGTCATGAATTGATCCCGTATGAATGATCTGTACAGGAGCCAGCACTAATGCCAGTTTTCCCTACACACAGCAATGTACAGTACTTAACCAGAAATCAACGTATTTATCTAAGTATTCAGTAAAACTTTACACATTTTTTCCTTATTTTGAAACACATGTTGAGCATGTATTTTGACTATCCTGGATTGCAATTATAGTGGTTGTAAAAGCCAAAGCAGGTGGTTCTTTCCACCTTAGGCTATGAAGCATGGTGTGCATACTTTACGGAGTCTGGTACCTTTTCATCACTGCTAGAAGACACATGCCCTGCGGATGACAGACACCAGACCTGTGTCAGTATTAGCTACCAGTAAATCCTTTGCAGGTTCTTCTACAATCAACTGCAGTTAAGCTAAGTAAATAAATTCATTTAAGCTCAAAGACTGACCTTTACAATAAAGTGGATTTTATTTTTTTTAAATGATACATTTTGTGTCTAACCTATCAGGTCTGGTGTCTGAGCCAAATGTGCCATATTGTTTTTTGTATGAGTGTCTGACAGTAATATTAATATTCCTACCCTGCTACAGGAGATAAACCTTAACAACTGTAGTGCTAACTCTAATGCAAGACTGCGAAAGGCACAGATATTTGCAAAGCAATAATATCTTAAGTGACAACATTCCTATTAAAAATCATACAGTGAGTCTTTTCAGCGTGTTGAATAAAAGACTCTGTTCACCGAAAAAGATAAAAAGAGCTTTTCAAGTCAAGAACAAAAAGATGAAATGCTGATTTCTTGTGGTGAGCATTCCACAGCAGACGGCTGCTTCATTATGCTGGTCCTACAGACACAAACAAGCTGCTACAGTCAACTCATCACAAAGGGTGTTTGGGGGTCAAATAACTTTCAATTTCGACATTAAACCTGCTTTTGTTAACTCGGATGAAAAAAACATTCATGATTTGTCAACAGATTAAAAAACGAAAACTGCTTGTGTTGTGTGATCGGAAATAAATTTAGCGAGTTCACACCTGAACTGATCAAAAACGTGAGTCTACAGTACATCTGGTACACAGAGCACCTCTGAGTGTTTCGGTGAAGCTATAATCTGTGTTATGCAGCACCGCAGTGAGTGTTAATGTCTATTCCAAAGAGTCCAGGTGGATTTGCTGTGGCACAAACAGGCAACAGCTTTCAGCGTGGAGACATGTAAACAGATGCAACACAAGTGGCTGCCCAAAAGTGTAATAATGCGCTAAACAGCTGTTGAAGATTACCTCTAGTTATATAAAGAATTTCATTTACGTCGTGATGTTACTCGTAGTGTTTCTAAGCAAAAAAGTTTAGCCCTCAGTCGCAGTAAACAAATGGCTTTTCTCTGTTGCCCTCCAATTTTCACACATCCAGAGCAACGACCTGACTTGTGGTGACCAAGAACGGCAAACTGATTTGTAAGCACATACACATGAGCACTGTGCAAATAAGTATACAACAACAACAACAATAAAGATACAGTAATTGGTGATAAAAAAAATAATAAAGAACAGTGCAAAGAATATAAACAAATGCATACACAAATAAAAAAGAAAATGGAATTTCCACTCTGCATCAGTCTGTAATCAGTCAAGGTTCATAATCAGTGTTTTCTCTCTACAGTCCCCGAGCAAGAGAGACGGAAAGAAGCCGAACAAGTTTCTGAGGATGAAAAAGAAGACGAAGAAGGAGAAATCAATTCTCCTCTCTTCCTCACAGTCTGGTGCTCGGGTGTACTGACGAAATCTGAGGTGGTGGGAGGGTGGAGAGAGGGTACAGGTGGTGCAGCAGGTCTCCATACAGTGCTGCCCCACCCGGGTGCCTGTAGAAGTGGTGGGGGGAGGCGGTTGAAGCTAGCAGCTGCCTGTGCAGCATCATGGAGTGGAAAGCTAACGGGGGCATAAGGGGGGACACTGCAGACTGGCTCTTCAGGTACTGCAGACCTGGGTGTTGCCCGAGTCCGTCCTGCGCTCCTGATGAGACTAGGCTGCCGTGCGGGTACATGCCTGGGTAGAAGGGTGCGGCGTGGTGCGGGGGGTAGGTGGTTGCAGGGTGGCCTTCAGGGAGGTGGTTGTTGAGATGAACGCCATGGGCTGGCTCGGCTGGTTTTAGCTCCTCCGGGTCGCTGCGTCGGATTGCTCCGGCAGGGTGGATCGGCGTCACCACACGGACTTTCCTCTCTGGGACTTCCTCGCCTTCAGGTTCTACTAGGCTCCGCTTACTGGGCCGACTGGGACTTGTGAGGATTGAATCACTTGCTGCTTTTGGGCTGGGATACGGCTGCGACGATGACTCTGCTGGACTCTGTTTCGCAGGAGAGATATTCATAGGAGGAACTCTGCACGCCTTAGGGTGGGAATCCATGCTCTGATGCATGATGGGATAGGGGAGGCTGCAGAAGGAGGGCTTGGAGAAGGAAGAGGACAACCTCTGTGAGAGGGGTTTGGAGATTGTGAAGTCTCTGGGCTCGTCGTCAGCTTCTCTCCTCTCGCTGTGCGTTCGAGTCCGCTCGCTGAAGTGCGATCTGTAAGCCAGGCCCTCTGGCTCCAGCCCGCCACAGACGAAGCCCTGGCTGCCTTCGCGCTCCCGGTTGAAGTGTTCTCTCCGCTCTCCATTTGGGAACCCGGCCATCCTGTCCTGACTTAGGCAGCTCTCTGTTTGCCGGTACAGACTGTGGAGATGAGGGGAGGAGTAGCAGTCGCCCGCATAGCTGCGGGACTGAGTTGCTTGGCCCTGGAGAAGCGTCTCTCCGTTGATCTCGACACCATCTTGGGCGTGAGGTAGGGGCAGATAGGGCTGCCATGGGAGACTTACTTGTGGCTTGAGGTGATGGCTTGTCCGGCAGCTGTAAGCCTCTGAAAGCTCCCCCGCTGTACTCCTTTCTGACTGGCTGCTGGTGGCTTGTTGGTGGGGCTTGCTGCTCTGGGCGTGCTGGATGACTGACGGCCTGAATATGGGTGCTCCCTCTGGGATATTTCCAACCACCTCATCCTCACCATTTCTCTTCTCCTTCTCCCTTTCAGATATGTCAGCCAGGGAGGACACGGCTGTGAGAGATGGAGGCTGAAGAGGAGATGTAAACGAGAAAGGGTTCGACTCACACACTTGGGAGAGGAGCTTCTTTTTGGCTAATGGAGACATGACACCCTGGCTGGATTTGCAGTAGGCAGCTGTTTGTGTTGACTCCTTCTTAGTGACCCCATAGTCTTCTTTGTCTGCGCTCAAGTCTATACACTCTATATCCACCTGCTTACACATCGGTAATACCTTCCCCACTCTCCCACTGTGGCTTTCTAAGGAGTCTTTAACCCTGGAGGAGGGCTCAGGCAGAGCAACAAGTCCGGGGGGTTTGTTCTGATCCCAGCGGTGAGGCAGGTAGGGATGTTTGGGAATGAAATGCCCTTCAGTTTGCTGTTCACAGGAGAGTTTCAAGGCCTCGCTCACTTGCATCCATTCAGACTGGGGACCCGTGCCTGCATGGACTAGTAGGCCAGCATGTGGGCCTCTGCAGTCTGGCTCTTTGGGACAGTGCAAGAAGGCCTGCTCCTCTGCCAAGGACTCCTCTTTCTTCAGAGTGAGATGTAACTCTTCCTCCTCTATTACGATTGGTTCATCACCCAGAGATACTTCCTGTTTTATGGCTGGGGACAGCTCGTGATTCTCTGTCTTCCCCCTTGAGTCCTGCATAGAGAAAAATAATAGCTGTTGAAATACCTCGGAAAAAAAACATAAGACACTTAGACATCTTCTTATTTTTCATTTTCAAAGGAAACAATCAAAAACAAGGTGAATCGTGCGCCAGATGTAGAGAGGCTATAGTGCTCCAAGCGGGTGGCTAGGGTATTGACTCCGACCCTCTACACTTTCAGCATGTCTTTTTCAAATCTATAATCCCAGTTTCAAATTCTATCCACTATCCTCTCCTCTAAATACACCCCCCCCTCCATAAATAAATAAATACATAGAAAAACATCTTATTAAAAATTAAAACAAAACAAGATAAAACGTTAATAAGAAAGCACGAGCAGAATTAATTTAATGTGAGGAACTTTCGGTTTGTGCCGATTATGGCACCCCCAGTAAATAAATCACAACCTTTTATCTCTTTACTGATTTTCTCATGACCATGTGTAAGTTATTCTTTCAACATGCAAAAGTAAACAGGCTGATTCTGTAATTCACTTCATCTGTCACCCACCCTCTAGCAGCAGTTTCAGGCATTTACAACTAGTTTGAATAAATAATCAATGTTATCTCTGATAGTCTGGTTTGCTTAAATCACTCATAAAGAGACATCAACATTATTTTCAGTCTGTTTCATAACTAGATAAAAAAAAAACTCCTTACAGGAGCTTTAAAATGTTTCTAAAGCAAGGGAGGAATATTGAAGAGGCAGCAGTTGTGGGACGTTTGTGACTGACCTGTGATTGTTCTTGGCCTTGCACCATCTCCTCTCTGTCCTTTTTACTCTCCAGCTTGACACTGCCAGGGCCTTTCAATTTCTTGGCCACCACTGCTTTAACTTTGGCTGCCGATGCCTTCTCCTGGCCGCCCTCCTGCTTCCTGGGTTTGGTTAAGGGGAGGGGCTTGTCCGACTCGCCTTTGATGTGCCTCTCGTAAGGGAGGAGGAGCCTGAGGAGGAATTCAAGCAGAGGAATGCAGATGAGCTATTGGAATTGTCATGCGATATTGTGTAAGACACAATATCTGACTTACAATATAAACTACATTTATCCAAACAATAATTTAAGATTGGAAAAGGCACAAAAAAACACTAATGGGAAGAGTTTTTTTTTTAAGTACCTTTGCTTTTGTTGTCAATATAAAAGAGTAAAACAAAAAGCACAATAACAACTTGAGCATATTATTTGCTGATACAAAAAAAGAGTGAGCTGCAGTTTTTCGCTAAACCTGCAGAGTATTACATTCCTTTTTTAACGTTCTGTTTTAATACCTGGCAAGCACTAATAATCCCATTGTAATTAGTCTATGTTCGGGGAAATCCAGGTTCAGTTGTATGCCAGAGTGCGTGTGTGTGTGTGTGTGTGTGTGTTAGAATGTGTATAACCAGTTTTTCCCTGCAGAGACAGATCACATTTGGTATTAGTTAAGCCATGAGAGAGAAGAATATATGTGTGTAATACAAGTTAGTGTAAAGCAAATGTTGTTGGAGTGAAAATTTGGAAAAATGGAAAGCAAATCATTTAAAGGAAACTATCTTATGTTTACATGAATCTACTGATGACTAATCCTAGAAGCCTTTAAAGTAGTTGCAGTTATAGAGATGGTAACACTGGGCTCCAGTTTGTAACAAAATGTCTTTTAAACATGAATAAATGCAGTTAGACATGATTAAATGCAGAAAAGTTGCGTATGCTCATACTTAATTAAGCCCATACAAAGTGACAAGAATATTCTGCAGAAGAATACATAAAACTATTTTGGACTTCTGTTATTTCTTCTCCAAATACTTCCCTTGACGTTTTTTTTTTCCGTATCTGATGTCATAACTAATGGGAACATTAAGCTCTGGATAACATAACAATACCCATGTGTAAAATAATGACATGAAGAAACCAGCGAGGGAAACTTTTAAACTTTTATTGCTCCGAAAAAGAAAATGGAAATTGGCACTAAACCAGAAATAAAGGAACATTGTGGAAGAGGAAACCAAGACAACTGAAAAACTACAACACTTCAATCTTCAATAAACTCCCTCTAAAAAACCTCACCAGCTCCTCTGTCAGGGTTTTTTTTTTTTTACAATAACAATCCATAAAAGCCAGACAGAAACATGACTTTCTCAGTCAAGTGAAAAAAGAAGGTCTTCTCGTGTAACGACAAGAGACGGTTGCAGTATTCTTTTTAAGGGACATGGCGGTAAAACAAACAATGAATCAAGAGCTGTTTCGCCTCCTCTTCAAAAGGAAGAAAAAAAAAGCCTCGGAGAGTTCAAGAGGCTCTGTGGGATTTTTTGTTATTTTTCCTCTGAACAAAAGTGCTGGCAGGGAAAGCGGTGAAACTACATTTCATACAGCTGGTCTGGCACCAGGCCCCAGGCCAAGAAAGGAAATGTACTATTAAATGTGACTTATTGGAAAGAGGGAGAGAGAGAGAGAGAGAGAGGGGTTGTGAAAGAGAGAAGGGGAGGGAGAAAGAGAGAGGGGGAAAGAAATAGAGAGGGGGTGAGAGAGTGGAAGAGGGGATAATGACATGTTAATGAAGAGGAAAAATGATTCTCAATGAAGAATCCTTGAAAAACTGAAATAAAAATATACAGTCTTTTTAACTTTAAATAGGAGCAGTTATATTTATTAGAATTACAGAGAAGTGGTTCTCCGGCTTTCTGTAATTAGGCATTCTTTTTACTGCATAGAATAAGCAGGTTTATCAAATGTTCCACCGTTATACCACAGTGGATTACATTTTTTCATTCAACATGTGCAGCCTTCCCATTAGTGATCAAAGGGCTGGAAAAGTGGCATATACATATAGTTAAGCAGGGTGCACTGTTGACTATCACGGTGATCTGTGGGAAAGAGACGGCTGCCTTGGCCTGGGTCAGCTTTATGGAATGTCAATATGGTGGGGGTGGGGTGGGGGGTCGCAGGCCCCAGATAATGTAAGAGCAGAGCCCGGGAAATTACCAGAGCCTTAAATAGTTCCAAATGGCAAGACAAAGATGTGGGTGAAAAGAGAAAGAAAAAAAGAAAAAATGTATCTCAGGAAGCTCCCAACATTGTTGGAATTATTTGCTTTGTTATGTTTGGAAAAAAAAATCTCAAGTGTGGCTTGTAAAAGCTATTTTTTCTATTTATTTTATTACCTTGACTTCCAAGACATACACCTTTTGTATATGTATTTTCTAAAGGCTGAATAAGCAAAGAATGTTCAGGCTACAATACTCACTCCTTTTTCCACTTTTAACACTGCTTTTAAAAATGTGTGAATCCCACAGTGTGAATCACTAGAAATTTCAAGAAGTGTATATATATATATATATATATATATATATATATATATAAAACTTAGTCATGTTCATGTATTATAGAACGTAAAATACAATACCGCTTATATAAGTAGCAATTTCCTCCGAGGAAGGGGAAAGGTTGATCTTGGCAGCCTCTGCACTAGTTGAGAGGAAGCCAGGTGTAGTTATTAATTTGAGCCACTAGGGGGCATGTGTAGCACTGAGAGATTCCAGGAAAGAATTTCATTAAGGCGGGAGGACAGGCAACATTTTTATGAGGTCAATAAATACTTAACTTCCTCTCATGCCAATTTATCAGCCGGCTTTTGTTTAAGCAGCCGTTTTCCATGTTGATAACAAGCAACAGAAATATGCAGAGAGGAGATTAGACATTGAATGGACATAAATAGCAAATGGCTCATGTAATTAATGTGGAAAATATTACTTCATATAGACATATAATACTTTATATATGACGGATGTGTCTTCAGTGAGATCAATAACAGCATAAAACCACCACATCAAACCACAACTGTCTACTAAGCTGGTCTGTGCCTTTGAAATAATGGATTGCACACAAAGCACCTCCTCCTAAAAAACACAACTTGGCAAAAACAAGGTGACTTTACCAGCAATGTGCTGCTCTCATCTGAGTTTTGTGTTACAGGAACAAGCAGTGTGCTACAATCCAAGAAATGCCTAAGTCACCAAATAAGTGGAAAAAGCCTGCAGGCTGTTCCATTTCAACAGCTTCCCTCCCATCCGTGCTGAAATTAATTTAAACTGGTGTTGTGTTAAGATCACAAGAGCCTCTTCGTGCGTTAAAAAAAAAGGGGGAAAAAAACTATTTAAAGAGCTGGTGGACAAGCCCCGGAGGCTGTAGAAAGATTTCAGAGGGAGAAAAAAATGACTTACTTTTACAAGCCTGCGAGAAAAAGAGAATTAAATGAAAAAGATAAAATCAAATCTTTATCAAATCTAAATGCGATGATTAAGCATCATCACAGCCATGAAGAGAAAACAATAGCTGCTGCAGAGAAAGAGGGAGACAAGATGCCAGCAGACGGATAAACAGACATTGTAGCTGCTCCCTCTGCTTTGGATTCATGCCTCAAAGCCCCTCTTTTGTCTCGAAGCCAAACCACTTGAGGTGACCCTCATTCATGCAGTTAAAACAGAAGGGCAGTGCAGGAATGTATGAAAAACTTAAGTCCTTTGTCAAGTCTGAAAATACCAGATTTAAAATGACCTCTACTGTTCCCCTGGGGGATTGCTCTCATTAGCTTCTGCTGCTGAAGCTTGCAGTAAATGTTTGCTGTAGCAGGTGTGAGCTCAGAGAGCAAACTGTTTAAACTAAATGTGTAGTATTCTGCTTATAGGAACATCCAAGTATTAATATCCATAAATATATAGCACATGTTCCCTCTTGCTGCCCTGCAGTGAACTGAAATCTCTGCAAGAATATCATTAATTTAATTTGCTACACTGAACTAGTTATTCATCTCAGCAGACCTGAATAGATTCTTTTACACTCAGCTGGCTGTCACACGTCAGCGCAGTAATTTGTGATTTCTCGTCGCCACCAGGGAGAGGAACTATAAACCTTTGTATCAATTCAACGCATAAAGAAATTACCCACTATTGTGATTTGTAAGATGGCTGCAGAAGAAGAGGTTTTATCACTGAAAGCTCAATGAAGCATTTTGTCTCGGGGAAACCATTGAGCTCTCAGAGGTTAAAATAGCTGCCTGCTATTTTAGTGTAAAGAACAAGCAGCTCTTTGGCTGCATTCCCACTCAAGCTGAAGTCCAGATTGAGTACAAGAGTGGTGGATATACAGGGAGTTTGGATGGGGGACGACATGTTGAGACATTGTTTATGGAGCCTTTAAAGAATGCTGACAGAAACCATGTTCTCTTTTGCTTTTCTAACTTTATATTACATCGTTTTTGCTTTTTAAAATCTGTTTTCATTTTTGTCTTGTCCCTGTATCTCTCTGGTTATGAAATAAATAAAAGCAGGGAGGGACATGACAGTAACAGTTTCCTTATTGTAGTCCAGTCACTGCTTTAACTGGAGACCAGAGAGATGGAATCTGTGTTTTAGCAACAATATTAGAGAAGGCAAGCTAAAGTGTAATGCGCCACACTTGATGTTTCTGCAATACATCAAGGACAATGCAGAGAGATGCTGACGAGGGCAAGATACCAAGAATCCAGCCGAATAAAATGAACAAGAAAAAAATCCCCTGCTCTCATAAAATCAGAACTATATTCTCTTCTTTCTTTAGAGTGTGGACTGGCTCAAGGTTTCCTAATAATTATGAGCAGCGAATGTATTTTTATATCTGGAGAGCAGCTTTCTGAATGCGGAGGAACATCGATTCCAGGAGGAATGAATAAAGGCTGAATCAATAAAACATCTAGTCGACTAAAATTGGAACAGGCACGCATCTGTCTTTAAAGAAACACATATCTGCATGATCTGAGTCGGATAATATTTCACAGACCTCAAACTTTATGTGGCACACATTTAATACTTTTAAGAAGAAATGATACAGTGAAAACACTCATCTGTGTTGTCTGCTATTGCCTGAAATCTCAGAGTTTTTACAGAGCAAATTATTCTAAATAGCTTCTCAGTTGCTATGGATACCCCCTCCCCACACCTCCACCCCTTTCCAAAAACCCCTCCCGTACCAATGCCAACCCCGTTGTGCAATTACATTAGAGTGCCAAAGCATAGTGAGGTATTAAAAATGGGTAACAGGCAGAAATGAAGAGAGATAGTGAAATGTGAAGTTTCTGTAACAAGAGATCACGTAGGAAACCAGGAAGATTAAATATGTAGGAGCTGTTAAAAGGCGCTGACCTGTATAATGAAAGAAACAGCATGAAGTGCAAGAAAGGGAGGGGGAGAGAGGGAGGGGGGGGGGGGGCATAGAGAAAATGGCACAGCAGCACAGAAGCAAAAGGCAGTCTATTTCAAGGTTATTGATGCCATCTTTTTCATGACCTCATTTTTAATTCAGAGCGGCGGGCCCTGACAGCTAATCTCGGGAAACGGTTTAAATAAATATCATTAAAGCTTCCCTGTAGCTGCAGCAGTGAGACGCAGACCTTGGCTTGGACGTTTCTACATTGATTTTTTTTTTTTTTTCCCCCCGGCACACTAATGAACGGCACTCTGCGACTTTAAAAAACAGTAACTTTGAAAATGACAATTAGCTAAGGTTATCTCCTGTTCGATTCCAGCTATGTAACTCCATTACTAGCAGTGATTACTACCTGCTCCTGGACAGCATAAATACAGTGATTATGCCCTCGGCTCCATCTTTCACAATAACATCTCCTAGGAAACCATTTCACATGATTTGACCACTGGGGCTATAAAGGGATAATGTGTATAATTTAAACTATGGGCTGCATTCTTGTGGTTATTCAGACTTTTACGCAAAGACTGCCACAAATAACCACTTAATTTAAAGCAATTATGTCTTGAAATATGATATCCTTTCTTCCTGCTACCTTGAGAGTCGTTTTTATTTTACTTAGTTTATTTAGTAGTGATCCTTCTGAGAAAAGAGGAAAACGTAAGTGCTGTTCCAGTTTGTACACCGTACATTCTTCCCTGTGAATTATATTTCTGTAGCACATTGACTAATGATTAAAGGTGGAAACAAAGACGCCCCTGGGGAACAAACACACACTTCAGCGAGCCCACAAACAGCCTCATTCATCATGCGGAGAGAATGGCCATGTTGCTGAGTTAATACAATGAAGCTAATTGCCCTCCAAGCAGCCCAAACACAGAGGCTCAGCTAAAATTATTCCCCTGAATGGAAAACTTGCTCTTCTTCAGCTGATCTCTCTCTCTCTCTTCTGTTCCCTCACATACACATACACATACACATACACATACACACACGACCAATCATGTCCCCCCCTTCCAGATTTACACCTTCCCTCTCTGTCAGCCTGATATTCACTGCAGTGTGCGGATATTATTGCTTTGTATTGATTCAGCATTATTTTCTCTCAGCTGCTTCTCGGTGGCTGGAGAGGGAAAGGCCAGCGCAGCCGTGGTCACACCTCAGCGCTTCCCACACGCCTGCCTTCCTACCAACCGCCATATTTACACCTTATAAACTGTACACCTTAAACACTGTAGCTTTTCTCAACTGGCTTCAAAGAAATTCCAAGATGAGATGTGAAAAGCTAGATAAAACAGTAGCAAAACAAAGCATCAAAGACATTTTCTGTCTTTCACAATAAAATATGTGGCTCGCGTCGTCACATACAGCCGAGTGTTGAAAGTCAAATCTATTATTGCTCTAAATAAGGAACTCTTTTGAAAAATAACCCTGTTTGAAGCATTGGTTTAACCTTGGGAAAGGAAGCATGTGTTCATGTTTTAGGGAGTGAATAAGAACTGTGGCAGAAACACTGAAAGCACCCTCAGTCGTACGTTTAGAGGCATATTTTATGTACAAATAGTGAAAAACATGTCGAAGAGTAAACTTTCCCAACTTTGCTTTCACATATTTTGTTTTGGAAAAAACATCTCCAGCCTCTGTCTGTGTTTGAAAATGTGCTTACATCATGCAGTCTTGACATGATACAAAGCTGCCTGGTTCCCTCATATTGTCCTGGTGGTGTATCCCTGGATTATTGACAGATGTGATTGTGAATGATAGTGTGTGTGTCTCAAGCAGCTGGAGGGATATGGAGAGGGTCATGAGCCTTATGAGCGACCTGGTTATCTATTGTTGGGAGGATCCTATTTGCCGTTTGTTTAACGTTGGCAATGTGGGTGCGTGTGTGCATTTGTTTGTGTAAATTTCATGCCCAAAACTCCCTCGGATCATATAAATATGCTTTCCTTTGGTTCTGTAGCGGCATGTTTGCGATTCATTTTGCATGCAGCTCAATGTGCTTGCAATGCATATATGGATCCAAGAGTAGTTACTGTATTTGCTGCATATATCTGTGCATATATGCGGATCAAATAATAATTCAGAACTTTGCTGTTCTTTTTAGAGCTTTTAAATCCTCTTCAGCTTGCAAAGCAGTATATGTGGATTTCACTCCATAATCAGTTCCATTGTGTCATACAAATACTTTTAAAAACAGCTGAATCAATACTAATCATGACAGATTTAGAGCCATAAATACTATAAGAGCAGCTCGAGGCAGTGAGGAGTGATTTGAAAGCTAAAAAACTAGCCCTCTATCCTCGTCTTCATGTATGTGTAAGTGCATCGACTTCTCCAAATGAGATCAATATTTGTCTTGTAATGTCCTGATGTTATGAACAGAGCATTGTGCAATCCTATTTGATGCAGCTGTGTTGGAGGGGAGGAGTTTAGTCACTCTGGGCGATGCAAACTGTTCCGTATGTGCATGCATAGCAACAACTTGTATAATATGTAACATACATAATAACTCACCTCTCGTAGTGTCTGCGTGTACACGTGGCTGCACTCGTGCTGCTGGGGTTCCCGCCCAATTCATCATACACATGCTTCCACTGTCTGCGGACCGTGATCTAGGGGAGACAAAGAAGAATAAGACAAAAGGGGAAAAGGGACACAGAGACAATGAGATTAATGTAGACTTGGAGGAAATTAAAAAAACATGAAGTGGAGGAAAGAAAAAGAAAAACAGTAAAGGGTTGACATCATTTTGAGGTCTTGGGGAGTTACTGAGTCATGATGTTCCAGTTATTGAATCCTACAACACTCAATTCTCTAACATAATAAGCTCTGTTAACATCATGCAGTCAGTTGTTCCTGCTATAACCCGTTATCCCCTAACAGATGACAGGCTTCAACACAAAACGCAGAACTGCAGGCCGCCACCAAGCTAACAAAGCCTCTGCATGAAACGTGAGATAATCAGCTGCAGATATGAGGCTTTTAAAAGGGATATGAGCCCTGAACACATGAGCTGTATCCTGTTTATGGTCTGGTCTGGCTGTCTTGTTTGGATGACATTATAGCAGCTTGCTAATGAAGAAACAGACGTGAGCGGTATACAACAATATCAAACCTTGACTAGAAACAAGTCACACATGAATAGTGAATGAATAATCAGCAGGTAAGGCTTGCCAAGTGAAATGCCTCATACGTTCTTTCTCACTTTGGTTGTGTATGTGTGTCCATACAGTACATGTGGGTATACATGAGTGTTTCAATTCATCACCAACAAGAGGAAAAAATGAGCGATTTGACCAATTTCCGTCTGACTAGAGCAGAGCAGAGGAACATATGTTTTCCAGTCAGAGGGGGTTTTGAAACAACGGCATTATTTTTGCTAAATGTGGCTCAGAGCGAGACTTTCTTCTTGGGAAAATAGTGACCGACCTCAAAGGGGCAAAAGGAAGGCAGAGAGAGAGAGAGAGAGAGAGAGAGAGAAAGCGAAAAGGAGGAAAGAAGGGAGGAAGGTGGCAAGAGAGGATAATAGAGGGGAAGGAGAAGAAGATGGGAAGGAGAAAGCGAGGGGGGTGACAGCAAAAAGAAGGGCGAGACTTTCAAGAGAGAGTAGGAGTATATTGCCACATATGTGAATACTTACCAGCTCATATCCTCCGAGTTTCTGAGCAGCTTGAAACATGGTCCAAAGGTTGACTGTGGGAGACAGAAGACAAACAAGGCAGTCAGAAACTCTGGGAAAGGACTTGAGCTGAAACACATAACGTCATATACAGTCATTACACCAGAGAACAGGAGATAAATACAGTACTGGAGGAAGTATTTAGATCCATTTGTTAAGTAAATGCAAGAATACTTCATCGAATAACACTGGTTAAAGTCCTTTATCAAAATGTTGCCAACAAAGAGTATGAAAGTAAAAGTACTAATTAGTTTATTGTGATGCATAACATTATTGAGTGGAGTTACTTTTGCATTCATATGTAAGCAGTTTATGTATGTTGTAGCTAGTGACAGAAAATGTATGAACTATTTTAAAGATTTAATTATCTTATATCATTTCATAACTAATACAGTATCTATCTACAATGTAATATTACTAAACTGTTGACGTATGTGTTAGCTCAATCTAAGACTGAGACGTAAGAAATAACTATAACTGTCAAATTCCAATCCGATTATTAGATACAACATCATTACTGCTTCATTGACTATCATTATAATGACGTGAATAGATACATACAGAGATGTATTCGTGTACAGAATAAATGAAAAAAACAATGAAAGTTGAAAACGCTTGAGCGATATTTTACACAAGCAAACTCACACAGACAGAGAGAAGACAGACAGACAGACAGACAGACAGACAGATAGACAGATAGATAAGAGACATTGATCAAACTCATGTTTTTTTGTATCTTCTCAAAGGATGAGGGTAATTATATATTCCTGGACTGGCACAATAAAAAACAGCTTTTTATAATTTTCACACAAAGCAAAGCTGCTCTCAAGCTGAAAGGATGTAAATGAATATTGAATATTTGTACAATATACCACTGTGTGATACAATACAGCATATGCTTCATCCTGACAAAAAGATTTGTTAACCCTCAGCCGCAGCCTGCAGGTATGAATGAAAACCATTACAGCCATCAAACGCTTGGCAATATGCTCAAACTTCTGTTTGAACTAATGCAAATTCGTTTGCATTGATTTCCCCATGCAAATTCCACATGACAAGCCATATCAAAATATGAGTCTTGTGTAACATTTTCCTAAAAATAGCAACGTGAGCTTTCAGAAAACCTTCAAACGGCTGTCTGTCTTTGGGAGGAAATATGTTCCACAAACAAAGAAGCACAGGTTCATTGGAGGACTTTTTTTGTGCCAATGACATTTGTATTTGCTTTCTGTAACATCATTGTTTAACATTTTTATATGACGGCCTATAAATAAGAAAAAGAGGCCTCGCCTTGGGAGAAATCCATCAAAATTCAATCTGTGCGTACACAAAGCCTTGCATTTGTCAAAATGACATTTTCCTATCTCCGCATTTGACAGCATTGATTTTTTCCTTCCCTCCTCTCTGCGACCGTTGTCAATGCACGGGTGGAATAACAAAGGGAGCTGGGTAGGTTTTTCTGTTTGAACTGAGCACTCCAGTGTATTGTGCTTTCTGACTGGAGAAACAGAAAGATGGTCTATTTAACTAGCTTGTTATGCATCGACTGTAATTACCACAATAGCACACGGGGACGGGGAGGGAACAGAACAGATAAAGGAAATGAGCGAACATGCCTTTTCTTAGATGTCTTGTCATTAGCAATTTCTTTTCTTAATTCCCCTCTATTTGGCAGGGGCAATTATCACTGAGATAAGGATGACAAAACAGGAACACAATGCAGCCTCAATGACACACCGATGGTACGGCAATTAGACAACCAGGCTGAAAGAGGGAGACAAATTGGAACTGATGTTCACAATCACATGCTGATGCCCGAGCAGCGAAGCACACACACACACACAGGGCTGAAACAATCACACACACCCAGTAACCCGTTAATCTTGCACATCAAGGGCATTCCAAAAATACAATGTAACCACAACTACTTCTAGTTTATTCTCCTGAATCCACTTTGCTCGTTTCTTTCAACACCTCGACTGCACCCGTACGACTTCAATGGCTGCAGCTGTAGAGCAAAGTCAATATTAACCAAGTGATAAAAAATAGAAGGACAGCAACTCGCATGAATAAGCTGCAGCAGAAAACTGTTTTCTCCTCCCTCTGTGCTGTAACAGTCAACTATTTTCATTTCATTTCCTGTGATTCAGGCTCTCTTGTGCATTCAGCCTCTCTGAAAGGGTTTATAGAGGTAATTTAAAGCCAAATTTTATTTTTAAGAGAAAGTAGTTAGCAGAGGACTGTTGAATGGAGCCACTTGGAGGTGTTTTATATAGTGTATGTAAAAAAAAACAAAAAAAAAACACCTGAAGGTTTTTCTATATTTCTTTTATAAGATATATATTGTTTAAAATGTATCAAACATCTTCTGTAGCCATCTGATTGTTGTTCTCCCTGTTTTAAAATCCTTCATGAATATTTATACATTCAACTGTTGGTGCATGCACATCTGTTTGTACGTTGTTGCATTGAGTTGCTATTTTGGCTCGAATACTTTTGTCTGATTAAATAGGTTTTGATGAATGTGTTTACATTTTATGTTAAGAAGATGAATAGACCTAAAAACGACCACACAACAGAATGGCATATTGAAATATAGTTCCATGCTTCATTCATTGAGTCCTCACAAAGAAAAGTGAGCCTCCAACTATAAGCTGCACCCATTTCAAATACAGTCAAGATACATACCATCACAGCATTTTTTTAAAAACATGATCTAGGGTTCTTTCACTGTAGAGTAGGACACTTGATAGAATAGGAAACAAGGATTAGAGAGTGGGGAACCACATGCTGCAAAGTGCAAAGGGATGGAGGATAATATTTAACTACGAATACTACTGAAAAACTTTCAGATAACATACAACATAAGGAACTAAGGTCCTACCAACTAAGGTAGATAACCAATCACACTTTGGGACAATGTGGAGGGTCTAACGATGCCTAAACCGCTCCCTGGATCAACCCCTAATATCATCATCATTAGTGAGCCTTTAATGTCGAAACAAGAATATCAGTTAGTCTGAATTTATGCAAATATTACAATCATTTTAAATGTCGACTTTGCCAATTAGGGTTTGCATTTTGTTAAACTGATTACTTGATGTTATTACAGGCGTGTGGTTACGATGCTCGTTGGTCTCACTTCAGCACCTTTGCACTAAGATGTTTAATGCATACAAACTCTGGAGTCAAATATAAACTCAGCGTGTGAGCGAGTCGGGCGAAGAAGTAGGAACTGTGTTACACCAACAAAATTACTTTATTGACATTACTGGAATTAAAAGATGTTGTGAGCCACTGCAGATTGACTAAATTTTAGTGCTTCATGTGTCTCTGCTGGGCCATAAAGAGCTACAGTTGTATTGCTTTAAAAAAAAATCAGGTAAGGCTGCACAGCAGGGAGATGAGGTTGAGTTTAGTCCAGGGATTCAGATGGGTTTTTTTGTAGCCCAGCCAACAAAGCATGGGTAAGTCTGGTAAATCATTCAACCATCTGTTGCTTTGTTAAACTCCAGAGGACTCCATAAAAAGATTATTACTCAAACGCAACTAAAATAACATAATTTCAATTTTCCTTTGCGGGAAAGCGAGTTCTTTGATCTTTTAATGCATTTGTAGTGAGTTTAAAGGGAAGAATATGAAAACGGCGCCTGATTACATCTAAGGGTTTGTTGTATTAATTATGATGTGTTTTCCTTTTTCCCCCCTCCCCTCCTCTTTACATGTGCTGATGTGTGCTCACTGCCAAGGACGAAGTTTAAACAGCATGATTTCACCATTTAATGAGGGCCTTGCTTATGATGTGTCTGGTTTTCAGATTCAAAGCATGTACTGTATGTAAAACAGTTGGCGTGTGGACCTCGACTTTATTCTCAGTTTAAAATCGAGAAATGCCGAATAAAAGTAAAGGCATTTTGGGTATGTGATTCTCCCTTTGTCTCGCTCTCGCTTTCTCTCTCTTCATCTTCTTCTCTCGATCTCCCTCAACCACAATGACCTATTTAAGCAACAACATGTCGGCAGTCAAGATGACAGGATTGTCAAAATACCGTGGTGAGGTTAGAAGAACGAGGCGACCACAGCTTACCTTCATGTAATAGTTAGAGTAATGACTTTTTTACTGTGCTACAAACTGTCCCTGTTAAATCCAATAGACATCTCTCTCTCCCTCTCTCTCTCCTGCGTCTCATTAATTTGCTGATGTTGTCGCCCCTGATGTGAACGGCTAAATCTTTCCTGGCTTGTTCGACATGAATGCAAATGTGATTTCCTCCCTTGAATAAAAAGTGAGAGAAAAAAAAAGAAAAATTTGAAAGCCACAGTTAGAGATGAGTACCCACGTTCTTACCTCGAGATCAAACGCGTAAAACAAACACATTTCTTCAGTTTCAGGAGACCAGAGTGTGCCCTTTATGATTTTATGTGCATGTTTCTCCTCTTTGTACTGTGCACACCTGGTGCAAGCTAAGCATCCGACCTATATTAGAAATCTTTCATCTCGGGCAGACGTGTTTCCCATACATGTGATGTTCTTTTTGCTCTGTTAGAGGACGTTCTCGGCCTTCACAGGAAGCCCCTTTTGACAAGTGAAGATATTCTCTGCTCAAATAAAAGACAGCCAAAAATGTGGTGTGACAGCCAGCCTCCAGAGTCTTTTACAAACCACTAGATGGGATTTTTTTTCTCTCAGCATACACAATTATTCCTTAAGTTTATTATAACCGCAGAATGAATGTGTGCTTTTTTTTATTATAGTTTAACAGTGGTGTAATTTAGAGTTTTTTGGGCATAATGCCTCCAGCAGTTGGCAGCCATCTCCACCTTTTCCCCTTAAGCTCTCATATTGTGGATTGTTAGGACAAAGTCTGCCCTTGACTTGACTGAAAGGCAGCTACTGGTTTCCTTTGTGTGATCACAACAGGGGGGCACTGTAGATAACATGTGGTTAGAGCTGATGATTAAAATCCACACTGAGTTTTTCCCTGCGTGGATTTTAATGATTTACAGAGTGCCTTTTCACTCTGATATTTTAGCTCTAATTTGAAACATACACTTCAGATTTTTTTGCAGACTTGTAGACTTTTTAGGCTACAGATTAAAGATTTAGTTTTTTTACAGGGAACAAAATAGATTTTGATACTTTTTTCTGCCCCAATGAGGTGAATTTACACTTTTTACGATATGACCTCAAACTTAGAGTAAACCCAAGTAAATGTACCCATCAAAACTTTACTATACAACCCTTTGTTTAAACATTGCCGGGGAGGGAATAAAAGAAAAAGTTTTCCTACTCACTCTGTTTGAAACCGAGGAAGGGGATCCTCTCTATGGGCGTGTCTCTTTCTTTCATGTACTTATAGAGCTCTACTAAGAAAGCCTGCTCCTCCGCTCGGTTCTCCTCTGATGTTTCCTCCTCCTCACTCCTCTCCTCCTCGTTCCTCTCCTCCTTGTCCTTCCCTCGCTCCTTCTCCTCAGCTGAGGATCTCTTGCTGAGGCCATTGGCCTTGTGTTTGGCTGCAGGAGTTATTTTTCCGTTGGGTATCGTTTTACAGCTGGGTTTGACCTGCGGAGACAGAATATCAGTGGATGTACTTTTAGATGTAAATAAACCTTCAGCGGAGTGTTTTTTTACAAAAAAGATTTCAGATACTTTGGATGAAATGGGTTGAGCACAAACAAATCTCCTTACAGGCCACAAAGGCAGCCTCTCATTGATTACCCATGGAGCAGCTCGTCTTGTCATCACAGATTAGGCACAGATTAGTTTGACTCCAGCTACGAGAGAGAATTGCTAATATTGATTCAATTGCCCAAGGTCGTAGGAAAAACAGCCATGGAAGGGCTTTTAGGGTAGATATTTCCTTCACTTTGAATATTACAACCAATGTCAGATAAGGGCTCGATAAAAAGCATTAATACAGGAACACAGAATCAATGACTCAAAGTCTTTTTTAAGCAGAAAGAGCTGGAAATCATTAATCAAACAGATAACACACATTTACAAATAGAATGTGACGATCTTACAAAAAAAACTCTACAAATACCCTCATCAGATGACAGGATTTAGTTTGTAGATTACTTATTCTTCTATTTAGACAATTCTGCTTCCTGTTTTTTGAGTTTACAGTGGGAAAAAAAGTGTAAACATCTTGCTCCACTGTGGGATCATGTTGCTCTTGTTTACATTACTATAGAGTGTTGAGAGAGAGAGGGAAGAGTCACAGACTAACAGAACACGGCTTTACAAGCAGGCTTTTATGACCCATCTATCAATGAAGATATTAGTCAGATGAAAACTAATTATATTGTTAAACAGACAGACAAGTAAAAATGCCAACATGCCTTTTAGCTTGTGATGTTAAGGCTCTACTGCTTGTTTTAGCCTCGTGTGAGGATATGTTCATCACTTCTGGTAGGTAATCAAAACAAGTCAACTTAGTGACTTCAGGAAACTGAAGATAAAGATGTTTTGTTAATCAATTAAAGGATTAGCAAATCATTCAATACTAATAATAATCAGATGCAGACCTCAAAGTCTTTTACCTAGCGAGCCATAAAGAATACATTTGTATGAAAAGAGCACTATATTTATGATCATGTAAAAAAAAACAAAAAAAAACAAAACAAATAAAAGCAGTTCCATAACAAAAAAAGCTAAATCTCTCTGGGGAAAAAAAAAGTTTTAAGTAGTTCCCCCTAGCTAAACCCTCTCTTGTAGAACAAGAACAAACAAATGTAACACCTTTGTCACACAAGATCAAATCTTAATGGAACACGAGGCCTTCACTGATGCATGTACTGTACAGATTGTAACACTGCTGCTTCTCACAGTGAACTGTTGGAAATTACTCGAGCCTTGTTCTGTAACTGAACATAAAAGGACGACCTGGAGAGCAACACTATAGTTTAGGCGACACATGTTACTGCAGAGCTGCTACATGAAAGGATCCTTTCAGCTACTGTTTACTTAACTACACGGTTTAGGTCATGTACTCTGTTTACATGATAAAACATTTGCATGCACTTATGAAGACTAATCTGCAGCACTTTATGATATATGGCCTCTTTATGGTCATCTGAGGTCTTTATATCCTGTAAGATATTTTCATTTTAGTTATGATCTGATGTCATTTATTTTCCTACCTTAGTAGTAATTCTTCCTTCTGGGCTGCAGGGGTCCTGTGCTGCCACTGCCGTTGACCCCAGTGCGACCCCACTGACCCCTGACCCTGAGAGTCCCTCCTCTGAGAGATGGACAGCTTCTTCTTCCGAGGTCGCCCCTTCAAGTTAGGAGCTGAGGGAAAGAAAACAACAACAACAATGACAATATGCATTTTTTGCTGTTGCTGCATTGTGAGATGAAATCACTAGCGTTTCGCTGCCAAGTGTGATGATTTTATCTTCAAACAATGTTATTACACAACAACTGAGCGGAGGAATAAGACGGATGAAAATGTTTACGGGCAAAATTGCAATGCCTCCATGGGAACATGACTTTAAGCTGTAGAGGACGGAGGCTATGACGGGAACATTTACAATCAGGGAAAGGAATTTCACAGGCCTGCTAGCCTGTAGCTAATTATTTTTAAACTGGATTAGTGCAACATTTGTGCTGAATGGGGGAGCGGGCTGCCAAATTGCTCCAATGTGCTAGTAAACACGATCCTCAAGTTCCCTCTCAGCCTCGAAGAGAAACTGTATTCAAATTCAGACAGATGTGTTTTTAAGATTTCCAATGAGGGCTTCTTAACAGTCAAGTAATTAGTATAATACAGTAAATGACAGATGTGGCTTAACCCACAAACCCACAAAAGGGAAGACATTTTTAAACAGTATTTGCAACACCCCAAAAAATTCAGAGCTTGTGGTTTTTCCCTGCAACAAAATGTATACAATATGGCTGTTTCTGCTTGTTTTCCCCAGCAGTCATCTTATCTTAGCCGTCAGCATCTTAAAGAATTACATTATACTATGATGTATAGATGCCTCTACTTCTCTGTTTGGCCTTCTTATGTCTTGAAGCTGAACGCTGTTAATTAAAAACACATGAACCTGCCTGATAGGAGCTCTTTGTTTGAAAGGCTGGCAGATATAATTGCTCAGTTCACATTACACACACACAATAAAGTATTTAAGCCCTCCAAGTCCTTTGTACACCCACGTTTATGTCAACCCGCGACTGTAATGTAACTTCTTGGCAGAGAGCCTTGCCTCCACGCAGCAACACAAACAGAGATAAGCTCAAAGGAGATAGAGAGAAAGAGAGAGAGAGAGAGAGCAAGAAAGAATAGACAGAAACTTCAAATAATCCAAGTTCAGTCACGTATTTCACAGCGTCAACATTCTTTCTCTCCATCTGCAATGACAATTAAATCACATCCAAAGTTGTTCTCTGCCAAAAGGCCTGAGTGATTATTTTTGTCGGATCAAATTCCCATCAAGACAATGTTACAATAACACTGGAGCTGAATAAAAAAACAAAAAAAAACAAGAGGCAGTCATTAAAAAGGGTAAAATGATCACGACTCAGCAACCTATCACTTCATGTTGTTATTTCCACAAACGCTCTGCTGTGGAGAGAGCGCAGGGAAAATTCCAAGGGCATTTGTTGTGCATTTGTCATCCCTTTGGCACTAAAACAAGTTTTCAACGCTGTAATCTTTACTTAGAAAGCTCTGGGTGTGTTTCTTCCGTCTGATGTTTTCTCATTCTGCAGCTCACTCTGCCTGTTTTATCCTGCCAATTACTCATTAATGCAGAGAAATTACATAAACCCTGGCAGTTATTTATTTAGTTGTGTTTTTACTTAAAGGACAGATCCACAAGCAGCCCAAGTTAATGCTATTGCAAAATATAGGAATACAATACATGTGCTCTTAAACTTGAGAAAACTACACGTCAGACATATACACCTTTCAAAACACAAGGAAAACATTGTTTAAATGTCTGCAGGTTCGACTTGCAGGTGATTTATTCATAATAATATGACATCTGTTTTTTACAAAGGCTGCATAGATTTGAGCGAAGTCACACAAGTGCAGTGCTGTTTTTAGTCCAATCACTAACCCCACTGATACCCAACACCGACTTACATAACCTGCCTGTCTGTTTACATTTTTCATCAGGTCAAATACTGCTGCGTAAGAAAATGCTGCAATTACAGCAAAACATTACTGCATAACACACAGTGACATGACAGGGAGCAGGTTGAAATTCATTGACTTATTGATAGAGCACAATATGAACGCAGTCAAACAAGCAAAAGTAGATGCCTGCAGTAAAACGGAGGTCAAATGGTGCATTCGAGTATTTCTGTAAACACACACACACACACACACACACACACACACACACACACACACACACACACACACACACACACACACACGGCAAGCTCACAAGGTTAAGCGCTGGCAATCTTTCCGTTCTGCAGAAGTCGTGCAGAACTGCTGATCTGCCATCCTCGTGGCATGAGTTGCATAAGGGAGGAGTCATCAGCTTTAGAATAACACAAAGATAAAATCAAACAGGGGCTGACTCTGTGCAGATTGATTTTCTCGATGGAAACATTTATGGACATTTATAGTCTGTGAAAAAACAAATTCGACATCACAAGGTAAAGATTTCACGGCACCGTGGGGGATGAGATATTTTTACTACTCTGTGGGCATTAAGTGTTTTTGTCAATGTACTAGAAGAGGAAGAGCTCATTTAAGTATACATGATACTACCCTCAACAGCCCTAAATTAAGCACATAAGTCATTTACTAAAAGTGGCTACACAGTTCCCCTTTTGCTTCACATTGAGTTACTCATTTGTCAGTCTGTGGCTTTCTGCTTATCTGAGCTGCTGACATGAGTTGGAGATGTGCCTCGAAGTGACCGGTGGACTCTTGCCTGGTCCTTCAGGAATCCCAGAGGGTATAATGTACCCACTCAGACTCACACACATAAGCACACACACTGCTAGCTGCTAGCTCAACAGAAGTGAACCAAATCTTAGATCAAAGCTAGCCAGTTGGATGTGAGGCCATGCCAAACACAAAAACACATGCACATTTATATATACATGCAGGTGAGGGGTATTCCATTGGGGGTGAATCCATCATGTCTTGTCACACAGAACAACCTCCAAAGTCATGAAAGGTACGACAACTTCTGCACAGCCTGACAACTTGATCTCAGGAGGGTGCAGCCGAACACATAGGCACTTAGCAGCTTTACAACCAGGCCTTGTCAAATAATTTCTTCCCCCCTCAGATTCAATTAAATACGGGCCTAATACCTTTGTTTCATTGCCATTCAGTTGATGTCACTGATAATGAAAAAGTCATTAGGGGAAGCTCAGGGAGCGGTTCTGATGGTCCTATGCATCAACAGAGTGGAGCCACAGGGAACCCTGTAAAAATGGATTGATTGATTGAGAGGCTGCTGGGAATGCAGAGACATATCAAGCTGACTGGAGGATTAAGCTGATTGATACCTCAGCAAAAAACACTTTGTTCTTTAAAAAGAACTGACTGTTTAAATTTGTTATCTTAATGATCCTCCATTCAAGGAATTTTAACTCGTCAATATAGATGGACAACTGATCAAAACTTGAGAAGAACCAAGTAGCTTTTATCCTGACTTGTTTGCATAAGTTTTATTTGAATAAAGATAATTGAAAGCTAAATTGTCGGAAATGCTGATGGGTTCCAGGATAGAGATTACGGTGTATTGTGTCCCACCCTCCTTACTTTAAACAGACCATTGTCCTGCATATGGCCAAAGCCTGCAAATACATGTTTGGTCCAAAGTACTCGCATTACAAGCGTACACAAACAATATCCAGTACAAAAGAATCTGCCCCCTCGCCCATACAGAATCTGTAATTAATGCAGAATCTATAAATATAGTTTTTTAGCCAATGTTCTTCTTCCACTTAGCTGCTCTTTGAGGCTACATTTGTTTTTACTAGTGGTGCTTTGAGCTAAATGTTAACACAGCATGCCATGATTGGAAAACAAAAGTTCTTGCGCTCCTTGGTGAAGAAAACAAGGAGTGGCAGGTATTCATCATATTCAGTGTCTTGGCTTTTATCTAGCTCAAACTGAAATAAATAATTTATACAAAGTTGTTTTGAATTACTACAATGAAAAAGTATTGATTAGAGACATAGTCTAGTCATCAGGGTACAAAATCTGCTGAGCTAAAAACACTATGGGCAAATTGAGTGTGGACCTATTCCCAGTAGCGTGACTGTTTCGACTAATCAGACATGAGCTTGTTAGATTAAAGTTGCAGACACACTGTGACTTACCAACTACCCTGTCAAGAATCTATCAACCTGCTCTTTCATTAAACAAAACACCCACTCAGGTCTTCATTCAAACACTTAATTCAACAGTTTAACTTCCACTTCCTCTTACCATTATGAGTTTCAAGTTCAAACACAGAGGTGAACGAGGAGGAGGAGGGGGAGGAAGTGGATGAGTGAGACATGACTAGAAGAAGCTGGGGTTAGCTAAGAAAGCATGTTTTGACAAATGTTTTACCTCACTTGGTTGCAATTTCTCTGAAAGACCTTACACCCACTCAGCAATTATCAGCATAGCTCACAGCCAAAGGTAACATTCATGTTGCAATACATTGTCCTGCCAGTACAGTACATAATGTCCCCACAGACACAACAAAATACAATATATTACAGCTGAGTTGTGCAATCATGAATCACTTTCTATGTAAACAAATGTCGAAACGAGATTAAGAATTATGCAAGATGGCCATGCCACAAGGCTTTCAAACCAAGATGTAAAATTAAAATACTAAATCAAGTGACAAAACAAAGTGTTGCGACACAAAGTAGATCTTCAGAGACAGTGTCTAGAAACCATTAAAAAAAAATAGTTCAGCAGCAGAGAGACATTGATAAGCGGTTTCTTTGCTGTAATCAATGTAAATTCTCCAAAGAGATCCAATCAGTCAATTTGAAGTCGCTCCTTAATGAGTTACACAGTGAAAGGGCAGAGCAGTTAAAGGATTTTTTAACCAAACTGAAAAAGAGCCTGCGAGCACTGCTGGCCGCAGTGACCGCAGCTTCAAGAGAGATAAATATCAACCCAGGTGTGTGAAACAAAACGAAACTCTACCTGTGAACACACCCACACACAGACAAAGGAGACCACTCAAGGTTATAACAACACGCTGGGAATGTAGTCATAAAGCATAAGGCACTGTGGCGGATATTCATTTAACAATGAAAGCATGAAGCAGATGTTTGCTTGTTTTTGTACTCAAAAAAAAACAAAAAAA